GAAACAACCAGCCCAGAGGAGTACCACTTCATCACAGTGGATGCTGTTGTTTGTTTTGAGAGTGATCAAGAAGAAGATGAAGAGGATGAGGAAGAGGAAGAGATTGAGGCTGAGGAGGAATTCTGCAAGCAGGTATGTGGGGTGGGCTGTTCGAGGCTGCTGGAGCCAGAGGGGCTTTCCTGCTCCTTGAGGGATGCAGACACTGCTGGCATTTATAGGCACTAAATGCATGACACAGTTATGGGCTGTGTCACATGGCCATGGAAATAGGCACAGGAGTGGCTATTAAGTGACAGGTGAAGTTTGCAAGGGCTTTAGGGCTGGCTGAGATACTGACTGTGTTGGGAAGGGAGGGCAGAGGGAACGGTGTTTAGCCAGACGCAGAAGGCATGCTATAGCAGACTGTCTGCAGTCCTGTGAGGCTTTGTATAAGATTTTCATGCTTTTTCTGGACAAAGTAAAAGAAATGCAGGTGGATTAGGGGTAGGGAGGGGAAGGCAGAGGACTAGGAACTATAGCCCAGTGGTAGAGTGCTTGCCTAGCATGTGCAAAACCCTAGATTCACTCTCCAGTAGAAGGGGGAGGGGGCAATAGAGGCTCCAGCACGAAGGAGGCTTAAGCAGGAAAATTGAGAGCTCTATCATGGACTATATACCAAGACCCTGACTGGGGGGAGGGGGGCAGGAAGGACAGTGGTGAAAAGCTATGCTGTTCTCCCAGGGGACCTGGGCTCAATTCCCCACACCCATGTCAGGTTGCTCATAAATGCCTTTGTCTCCAGTTCTGGAGATTTGACAAGTACTAGCCTTGGGTACACACACCCCCACACACTCAAATGCATTAAAAAAGCAGCCTAAGAAAGGAAGGGGTATTTTGGCTCGGAAGAAGGAGCTAACTGAAACCCACAACATAGTCAGGGCCCGCGTGTACCACAGCTTAGAGAAGGCCACCCTCAACGAGCTGTAAGCCAAGGGGATGGCTTATGCTCTGGAGACTTAAGGGCACACTGCAGGCCCCTGACATGTGTTTGGGTGGGGCCTGAGGCACCATATCTGAGCCTTCATTCCCTCTCCAGGTGAGATCAAGAGATACATCTTTAGAGGAATGGAAGGGCCCAGAGACTTACAGCCCCAACACGGCATATGGTAAGACCCCAAGCTAAGCCCTCCAATCTCAGTCACAGCTCTCCAGTCAGGCAGCCCAACCCTGGTGCTTTTCTCTTCTCCCACCTAGAGAAGGTGTGTCACCCAGCTGTTTAGGGGGACCTGAGTATGCAGCCCCTGCTGTCTGTCCCTCAGGTGTGGACTTCCTGGTGCCCGTGATGGGCTATGTCTGCCGTGTCTGTCACAAGTTCTATGACAGTAACTCAGGATTACGGCTCTCTCACTGCAAGTCCCTGGCCCACTTTGAGAACCTGCAGGTGAGTGTCCATCTGACTGTCCTGCCCAGGGACACAACCTCTGTTCAAACTGGCATACTCCCACAGCAGGGAGAGATCTAGGCTTGGCTCTTTGGTTATGTCCTTTGTGTGTGTGTGCGCGTGTGTGTGTTGGGGGTCTGGGTGGGGGTGACTCCAGAGCCTAGAGAGGCTAAGAGCTTCACATAGGGTCACACAACAGATGATTACTGTTTTGGCCCAAGTTGGGAAGCTGCCAGCCAGGAGTGCCTGTAGGCTGCACCTAACTTGAAAACTTTTGTATCCAGAAATACAAAGCAGCCAAGAACCCCAGCCCTGCCACCAGGCCCATGAGCCGCAGGTGTGCGATCAACGCCCGAAATGCTTTGACTGCGCTGTTCACCTCTAGCAGCGGCACTGGCCACCCACTCAGCCAGCCCAGTACCCAGGACACAGCGAAAATACCGAGCAAGGTGAAGCCTGGATTCCCCAGCCCCCCTCTTCCCCTTCGGCGCTCAACTCGCCTCAAAACCTGATAGAGGGCGCTGTGGCCACCTAGCCTGACTGGGTCCCAATCTGTTGATGCTTCCTAGGTGTCTCTGTGGAAAAGTTCACATGGTTGGTGTTTTTACCCAAAATTCAATAAAGTGTTGTCTGGCTTTGCAGTCCCCACCAGCACTGTGTCGGGGTGGGTATGGGGAGGGCACCTAGTCTCTCTGGACACAGTGTGGTGGAGGACCAGGGAAGCCAAAATCAGGCTCCCTGAGATGCAGGGTCTCTGGGATAGGACTACAAGGCACTGATCTTCTCTGAGCCTCAGTTTTCCTCTTAGTGTATCGTGGTTAGAAAGGCAACTTGAGAGAAAATCCTTATGGCTGGTGACCCTAGCAGATGGCCTTGTTCCTATTCCCAAGTTGCAGATAAACTGAGGCCTTAGCAGGGTCATGTGACTTGCCAAAAGTCAGACTGGCAAACAGAAAGGACTTCACCCTAGGTGTAAAATCTTGGTCCTTGTGTTGGTCTCTGTACAGCTGCACCTTACAAAAGCCAGTCAGACGTGGAGTTAGGATTGAGGGGGCGGTGGTCCTTGCTGCTGAGGGTTAGCTCTTGGTTTGCCAAGAGAGCACAGCCTCCTAATCTGGAGTCAGATGAGTAGGTGAAGGAGCCCAGCCTTAGCCCTGTTGTTCTCTCATTTAAAGAAATGACCCTTAGAGGTAAGACAGCCTGGCTTTTAGTGCCAGCTGGGAAGACTATAGCTAGAGTGGAAGCTGCCAAGGTTTGCCATCAGATCCTAGGGGTGTTTATCATGGTGAAAGGCCCTAGTGCCCAAAGAGACTGAATGTATCCAATAGTCACACAGTGTGTCTGTCTCAGCCAGGCGGGGAAGCAGCTGATACATACCAGGTAGGGAGGAAGCTCTGGCCTTGCCTGTATCCCCTGGATCAGAAATGAACTGTGACTAAGAACCCCAGCCCTGTCACATAGCCCTCCAGTGGCTAATGGTGTCCTTTTCCTGGCACAAAGAGATGAGAGAGGGGCAATGGTGTGGGAGGCCTCTTTAATATGGACACTATATCCTGGGTGGAGGGGAAAGAGACTGGAGCTGGGCAGGCAGACAAGTGAATGAGTTGTAGGACCACGCCTGGCTCCAGAAGGGATGATGGGCAGTGGGGCCTGGTCCAGGCTGGTAGACCCACTGGGGGATCTGAAGGCCAGTACCTGAGATGGAGTCTAAGCCAGGTAGCATCTACCCAGGCCAGAACATGGCCTAGAGAGGCAAGGGTGGGGCCCGGTTGGGGGCTCCTGGCACCTAGGGGCTGGCATCACTGGGGGCCTCCCCAAGCTGTTGCTGGAATTCCAGTCGTGTCTGTCGGTTGGACTCCAGCAATTCCTGGAGGCGGGCATGGAGGTGGTCGTTCTTCTCCTCCAGGTGGTCCAGACAAGAATTGATCTGATCCAACATGGAGTTGATGGCAGCATACTCTGGGAGGAGGGAAAAGACAAAGGAAAGGTCCAGTGTCTCCTTAGGGCTGACAGACACAGTGCACCCAGTGTCCCAGCTCACCCTTGAGAGGAAAGGTCCAGTGTCTCCTTAGGGCTGACAGACAAGTGCACCCAATGTCCCAGCTCACAACTTTCTTATTCTCAGTGTCATCATGCAGGAAATTAACAGGTACTACAAGAGGCAAAGTGTCAAATCATCTTTAGCACATCTTTTTTGTAGGGTTAGTGTGGTGCTGGGGCAATCTGCCAGTGTCCTGGCTGGTGGCCCTATCATATGCCAAGCTTCCTCTGTGTTTCCTTCCACAGCTACCTAGAAGTCAGAACCCAGGTTCCAGAGCTGGGCAGTCAAAGGCTCTGTGCTAGGCATGTGACCTCCAGCCCTTTTGTGGCTCTCTCTGCCTTCCCAATAGTGCCCCGCAGCTTCTGGGCCCTGAAGCAGACCCAGCCCCTACTTCCCTCTTGATCCCCATCTCCCCTCCTACCTGCTCAGCCTATCTCGGGTCCTCTGAATACACTGGGTGCCCTGCTTGTCTTTCCCTCTGGGATGAATTCCACTTATTTCAAGTTTTGGTATGGATATCACCAAGGCCGTCCCACCCTGGATCAGGCCTTTGTCCTGGTCCTCTAGACACCACCTTCCACAGTTTTCCCATCAGGAGTCACTACTGTGACTATCTGGGTGCTGGCCTGTACTCAACCTCACACTCAACTAGAAAGATCTGGGAGAGGTGACGGGTCTTGTGTTCTCTGCTGTTTCCCCAGTGCCCTCGACAACACAGATAAGTACTTACTGAATGAATGAGTGAATGGATGAATGAATGAAGCTCTGACTTTCCAGTCCCTGCTCTTGCTCAACTGTCTACCATCTAGAATTCATCGACAACAGCCCTTCAAGGACCAGCTCAAAATACCTCCTCCTTGGAGTCTTCCCCCCTCTGAGAAGTCTTTCCTATTTTCCTCTACATCAGCTTCTGACATGCCTCTTGGCAATGCTATGTCCTTTAGGACCCAAGGTCTGGGTCTGTGCCCACTGCGGGACACAGTTCTGAGCCAGCCCATGACTCAGAAACACTTAGCTGCCAGCTTGGGACCAGTGGGGAAGTAGCTGGTGGATTTAAGAAAAAGGCCCAGGGAGGGTGTCTGGGATATGATTGCAAACGTGCCTGCCTTTGGGGGATGGTTCCCAGAGAAGGCATCCCTCAAGGAGGATAGAGCCTCTGAAGACTGCTGGGTCTTAAAGTCCATCCCTCATGGCACAGATTGAGAAACTGAAGCCTAAGAAAGAAGGAACCAGAACAGCTTCTCATAGCTACTTGGTGACAGGGCCAAAACTCAGACCTGAAGGTCAGAGACCCTTAGGTTTTAGTTCCAGATCTGCTGTACCCCAGCAACTCCTTATTGCAGTAGGGAACACCGAGGTAGGGTTCCAGTGCACCAAGAGCTCAGTTGGGGTCTGGCCACAGCAAGAATTTAATGCATAGCTGTTATGATCCATCCTTCCACGTCTTGCAGGCTAGCAGAGCGGTGAGGTGAGAAGCGGTGTCTCCAGACTAGGCTTCATCTATGTCAAGAGTACCTCCCAACCATTGCTCCTGTCCTGGGTCAGATAGCCTCCTCCCTCTGTCTACTCAGTGTTACACTGCCCCCTCACCAGGTCCCCTCATGATGTCCCCACCATGGCTGCCCACTGTAAGCCTAATGACCCAACCTGCCTCCAGTTGGAAGGCAGCCTTCATTAAGAGCAGAACCTGGGTGATGAAAATATTCTAAAACTGTTGTGATAATGGATATGCTGTGAATATATGAAAGTCTGCAGAACTGTACTGTTTAAATGGTAAACTCTATTGTGTGACATACAGCTCAATAAAGCTTTTATAACAGAACAAAAGCATACTCCATTCTTACTGCACAAGTCCTGCCCACTGGGTAAGGACCAGACTTGAAATGTGTGTGTGTGTGTGTGTGTGTGTGTGTGTGTGTGTGTGTGACTATCTATCCACTTTCAGAAGGAACTTGTATGCTGGAACAAATGGGAACAGTCATCCCATTTTCCCTTTAATCCAGACACATCTCCAAACAGTAGACACCAATGTACCCGATATTGCAGATGGGAAAACTGAGGCTCCAAAACGTGCAAAGGGAGTCTGTGGACTGACCCTTCCCCTGAAGTCCTTCCGCAGTGCTGTGCGCCCAACACAGTCCTTGGTAAGCGGGTCACACCAGCAAAGCCAGGTGGCTGGGTGCTGACTCAGCATATGGGGCGCCCACCAGGCCAACACCTGCAGGGCCAAGCAGAACCTGCTCCCCTTCAGCGAAGAAAGTGGCTGAAACAAATCCCAAACCGATAAAGCGTGTCTGAAGCCGCCTCAGTTTCCCCATATGTAACCTGGGCTGCTTAGCGACAGTTCCCCAGTATTGCGGCGTCCAGGGATGCGTTCACTAGTGCTCGCCATTGCCTCCGAGGTGGCTGTGGGGACAACTCCAGAACCACCCAGGGGAGGGGTGGGACGGCTCTTCAGTCCCTTACACAGCCTCCATCCCGGCCCCATTCCAGGACAGCACCCCGAGCAAAGCAGAGGTCACTTCAGCAGCACCCTCCCTCGCCCAGGTCACCTGCTTCCCCGAAGCTGTCATTCTCGCCTTCCGCGCCCGCATCCGCCGGCATGCCTAGGTCCCCGTTGGGGCCCGACATTGCGGGCTCGGGCGCCGCAGAGGCCACGGAAAGATGAAACTCAGCGACCGCCGCGCGGAAAGCGGGAGCTAGGCGGAAGGTGCAAGCAGCTGATGGAACGCCGTGCCGGAAGGGTGGAACGCAGCGGCGCACCGGGGCCGCCCAGAGCCCCGCCCAGAACCCCGCCCCGAATCCTCTCAAACCACGCCCTCAAGCAGGGCTCCGCTCCCGTCCGCTCTCGGGCTCCTCCTCTCGCTTCCGAACGGCGTCCCTCTCCGCTCCTGTCCCCCACCCGGCGATCAACGGAGCGAGCCAGGCAGTAAAGACCCTGGCCCGCTAGAGCTTGAGACTTCTATTTGATTCCGTCCTGCTGTTTCCGCTCCTCTGCGTGGTCAGAATCAGACAGGCGGTTTCAAAGGCTGCCTAGAGAACTCTGTTCTCAGCACCGCTCCTCCCCAGTCCCCGGGAATCCGCATTCTTCCCATCTCCCTGAGGTGCAGCCTAGATTACCCACGACCTCGTCCTATCTTGGCCAGTCTTGTTCCCATCACTTCTCTTAAGGCTCTCAAAGGCTACACTTAACGGGTGGAGATCAGACCAAATTCCAGCCTGGATAGTAGATATAGACCCAATGTGTTTGACCCGTGCCAACAAACAGGGAGGACATGCATTGGAGAGGAGTGTGAGGTCCTTCTCAAGGACTATGTCACTTTCCCAGTATGGAAAGGGTTTGCTGTATCCTGCTGTAGGTGCCCTCGGGGCCACGGAAAGTCTGTGCTAAGTGGCCCTGCTTGACACTGTCCATCAGAGAAGGCTTCATGATAAAGCCCTGCTTGGGGCATTCCCCACTCCACGCACTGGGTGGGAAAAGGCGGCCCATACAAAGTCACCAGCCAAAATCACTTGTAGATTGCACTCAGAAGTGTAATCCTGAGTCCAGCTCAGAGTCAGGGTGGTGTCTCAGGGAAGCTCACTTACCAGGACTCCTCTATCTGTAATAGCCAGGAGACCCCTTGGCACCAGCAGCTTGTTCCTGGTGTCACCTGGCTAGTCCTGAGTGCAGGCTATTCTCAGCATAGGGGCTTAATCTGGGAAAGGCAGGAAAGTGGATTCTTCCCCAGAACCCCAGAGGGAGCACAACCCCATGGACACCACAAAGCTAATTCAAACTAATTCAATCTGGAACTGGAAGAGAGTACATGCATACCGCTGTAACTGGCCATGTATTGCAACCTGTTCAATGCCAATGGGAAACTCATATCTGCATTAGCAGGAAGAGGAAACAAAGCCCTATTTGTGCCATAGAGTTTGATTTGAAGAGACCAACAGCAGCAAAGGTTATGGGAAACTGACTTCTTTAGTCCAACACAAGAAACTAGATCTAGGCTAGAGAGAGGGAACATACAGTGCACTTGCAGAGGACCCCAGTTCAATTCCCAGTATCCACATCAGCAGTTGACACCCACCTGTAGCACCATCTCCAAGGAAATCCAATGCCTCTGACCTCCTCAAGCACCTGCACTCATGTGCACATATCTATACACAGACAGACAGACAGACACACAGACACACAGACACACACATACCACACCACACACATTAAAAGAAAAAAATAAGAGAACTGGAGAGTTGGCTCAGAGTTTAAGAACACTGTTCTGAAGGACCTAGGTTCAATTCCCAGCATCTACATGGTAGCTCAATACTCTGTAACTTTAGCTCCTCCTTCTGGCCTCTAAGGGAACTGCATGTATGTGGTTCACATACACATAGGCAGGCAAAACATCCACTTAAATAAACTGGACATGGTGGTACACACTTTTAATCCCAGCTCTTCGAAGCAGAAGCAGGCAGAGCTCTATGAGTTCAAGGCCAGTCTTCTCTATATAAAGATCCAGACCAGCCAGGGATACATAGTAAGATTCTAACTCAAAGGAAAGAAACTAGATCTGGACTCAGACTGGAGCTCAGGAGTGAAGTGTGTGGGGTGTAGCTTCCTTTCATGGCTAGCCATTGAGGCTTTAACCAGGACATCTCATTCTGGAACCTTTCTGGGCTTGAACATAGCCTCTGTTCCTCCCTTCCTGAAGTCCAGCCTAGATTTCAACACCATCTGCTGAGCTGTCCCCCCCCACCCTTGCAGGGCTGAGGTTAGGGCTAGTCACCATCTAGACACACTCTTCCTCTCAGCCAAAGTGAAAGGGGCAGTATATATGTGTGATGGGAAAGAGGGGTTCATTTGGAACCTCATGCATTCTGGCAAGCGGGGAGAGAAATGGCCGCAGACTCCTGGCAATCACAAGATCCAGATGAGAGTGTGGTGACTGTACCTCATAACCCCTCCAGGCTCTTCCAACTTCCCAGTTCCAGAGGGGGTGCCCATTTGGGACCTGGCCAGGTGACCAAGTATAAGATACCCCTTGGAGGTGAGGCATGGAGAAGTTCATACTGCCCTCAAGGTGAGCCCTGGGCTTGACTAGGGGTACCAGCCAAAACAGCAGTAAGCACAGTATTGTTCTGATAGGAGGGACTTGGGATGGTGGAGGCTGGGGAGAGGCTGGAGTTCTGGAGCCTTCTTTCCCCTGAGCCTTCTCTCTACAGCTCTACCATCATGCTGGAATTATATTGGTGTGAACCCACCCTTTGCCCTTCCCCCTCATTATATGGGGTTAAGCAGCACAAACTCAGAGAACTGGGGACATGCATTTATTCAGCAGACAGGGCGGGGGGGCTGTCACTGGGATGGATGTCTGGGCAGTGCTGCCCAGATAAATGATTCATCTGGTGCTCATTGGTATTGTGGCTGGTGGAGTAACCATTTGGCTCTCTGGCAACAAGACAGATGGGTTTGGGGACAGACAGGAGGCACCTGAGAGACTGTAGAAGAATCAAGACACCACTGTAAAGGAAAGGAACAAAGACAAGCTGGAGACCCCAATCCACTGTGCTCTGGCCTCCCACCCAGTCCCTGCCCATTGCAGTCAGCCACACTCACCGCCTGTTCAGTTGTCAATGCATTGGTCTGTAGGTGAGAAAAGTCCGTCAGAACAGAGCACAGGGACATGTATGTCTGGCGAGGCACTACGCGCCTATGCTTCACCAGCTCCAGACTAGCCTGACTACAAAGGATCTGGGGCTTCTTCCAGGGTTGGGGCAGCAAAGGGACCCATGTGGAACAGACAGCACAAGAGAAAGGCCCTGTAGGGCAGGGGTGGGAGGGACGTAGTGGATCATTTAACCAGGCTTTCTGCCTGTTTACCTGCTGGGCCTTGGTAGCCTTTCATCTGGTGGCCTGGCTGGAGCCTCCTGCCCAGGCTACTTGAAAACAAAGTGTCTCCCAAGTCATGGGATGGGGAGAGGTGCCGGACAGCAAGGTTCAGGGTTTAGAGAGGAAATAGCCTTCAGCTGTAGGCAGAAGTGGCTTGGGGCAGCAAAGACTAAGGATGTTTGGACTGTCTTCTCAGAATGCCCTGGGTCAATGGCCAGAAGAAAAACTTAGGGCTGGGATCCCTGAGGGACCCATAGACCCCAGGGTGTTGTCACAGGGTCTTCCAGACCTCAAAGTGGATCCCTTTCTTTGGTGGGGTAGGTATCAGCCTGGACAGTCCCCACATCCCCACATCCCTATCCCTTCTCCCCAACTGGCCATTACCGGTGGTGACAGAGAAGATGATGTGGTCATCTGTAAGGCCCAGAGACTTGGCAAAATGGACAAAACGCTGCTTTAGTTCAGTGGGCAGTTCCTTGGCTCTTCCTGCAACCAAGATTGGCAGTGAGTGTCACTGCCATAAGTGTCACTGAACTAGCAAATGAGGTCTCACATTTGTTTTCTCTGGAGGTCTGTAGAAAGACCACTCCCTGGGCTGAGACTGTGGGATCCCAACCTTGAGTGTAAGCAGAAATTGAATCCCTAAGAGTTAGTCAAAAACTCACCATACAGGGTGATTTTGAAGTATTGCTTGTTTCCAGAAGTCTTCTTGAAAAATACCATGGCAAACTGCTCATAGTCAGTAGAGGCCACTTGTACATGGTAGCTCTGTATCTGAGGATAACCTGTGGACGTGAAGGACAAAGGATGGGTTCTGCCCTGGTGCAGGAAAAAGGGGTGCACTTTCCCCTAACTTTCAGAATGGTTCTTCCCATAATAAAATCTGGGTGGAGGGACAAGGGCCCCACTTCACTCAGGACTCACTGTGAATGTTTCCCAGGGTGAATCGGCCAGCCCTGGAGCTTGGAACAAAAGTTCTGATCCAGTAGACACAGCGCTGGTTCCTGTGGGAGAGATAAGCATGAGCAGGGATGTGACACAGGCCAGACTGCCCCTTGGATTGGGGCAGGCAGGGCTAGAATTCTAGTGTTCCCACCCCCATCCATTCAACTATAACAGCCAGGTCCCAAACCTGGCAGGATGCTCCACCCACCCTAGGAGGTGCACCTGGACCTCCCCCCACCAGTCTGTCCTGCCTGACCCTGATGAGACCCTTTCCCCAGCACCACTGACAGTCCCTCCTCCCAGTGCCTTTCCTAGATGGCCTCCCCCTCGCACACAATCCAGGTCCCATGCAAAAAGCCCTACTCTCTCTCCCTGCTTGTTCTCTGCCACCTCCCTTGGCAGTTAAGGCAGTTATTTCTGAGCTGCTCCAAGCTAAGTACTACACTCCTAGCCCTTAGGCCAAATATGACTTTTCCTCAAGTCCCACTCAATCCCCTGTCCTCCGTAGCCAAGCTCACCAAACCTGCCTTTTATCTACCCTTTGCTCCGGCCCCAGCCTATCTAGCTGGCAGAGTCAGAATCACCCCACAGTGAGCCTGACTGTCCTCTCATGCCCTGGCCCCACCACTGTCATCTCCCATGCTGACTACCCAACGTCACCACCTTCCTTGTTCTTCCCACAGTGCCGGCACCCTCCCCCATTCTCCCTTGTTCCAGCAGAGCTGAGATTGTCCTTGCAGGAGCCCCAGACCAAGCCCTGGCATAGAGAAAGTGCCCCAGAGACTATCCCACTTCTAGTTGCCCATCAGTTCTTGCTCTGGTGGCCATGCCAATGATTCACCCTATCGTTTTGTTTGTTTTGTTTTTTGAGACAAGGTTTCTCCGTGGCTTTGGAGGCTGTCCTGGAACTCACTGTATAGACCAGGCTGGCCTTGAACTCACAGAGCTCCGCCTGCCTCTGTCTCCCGAGTACTGGGATTAAAGGCGTGAGCCACCACTGCCCGACTGATGCACCCCATTTTGAAGGCACAGCATCTGACATGATGCCCACCAGCTCCTGCTGGGCGCACTTCTGCCTCCTTCTGAGGCATAGTGGCTCCTCTAAGGCCACCTCCCAGGAGGCCCTTAGTAGAGGCTATAGGCAGGGTTGAAGGCTGAATTCAATGTCCCTCCTCCCTCTCATTCTTTCTTTCTGGTGTGTGTCTGTGTCCATGTCCGTGTGTGTTTGTGTGTGTGTGTGTGTGTGTGTGTCCGTGTGTGTGTGTCCGTGTGTGTGTGTGTGGGGGGGGGTGACAGGACTTCACCTGAGCAGGATGGAGGTGACATTGTAGCTGTTGTCCTTTTGCAGCTCATAGATGGTGCTGTACATTGTAAAGTGGCCTTGTTCTTCTTTCTGGACCGCATTGCCTGCCAGGCCCACAACGTACCACCTCCCCTGAAACTGCAAGGGGCTGATGACAGATGGAACCAGGGATGGCCTCACTGGCTGCTTGTCCTACGCTGGACCTCTTGGTTCCTCCAGGCCCCGCAACTGGAGGGCACCAGGGCCCCAGGCTCAGTCAGTCTGCAAGTACTGACAGGAGTTGGGCTCCTCTAAGGTTAGACAAGCCCCTAGGTGGAGTCAGCCCTGAGTTGGCAGGATGGTCCTAGGAAAGGAGCTGTTGGGCTCTGTTTCCTTTTCAATGCAGAGTGACTGAAGGAATTCCTACCTTACATGGACAATGGAGATTACAGGAGGTACAGTCCTGTGAAGCTCTGTCAGAGTGACAGAATGAGGTGTGGCTTCCACTGGGAGGCAGGGTGAGGGAAGCCTGAACCCTGGACTCCCAGAATTCCACTCACCCTACCCAGTGCTGCCTAAAGCCATTGGGTTCTCCTCCCATCTGCTCCCCGTTTCCCCTACTCCCTCCTGCAGCTGCCCTTCCAGTCCCTACCTGATCCTTCTGGAAGCCTAGCTGCAGGGGGACCCTGAACAGGGATGGAGCAGGGATCAACTTCTGAGTGGAGTCCTGGGCCTGGCTCTGCAGGACCCCAAGTAGGGTAAGGCCCAGATACAGGACACCCAGGGTCATGGTTGCAGCCATTAGTGGACTGGGTCTAGTAGGTAGGAGGAGGAAGAAGAGAATGAGGAGGACTCCCCAGGGAGACTCTTTATGAACAGCCACCTGGCTGCCAGCCCCGATACTGGGGGGTAGGGGGAGGTCCGTCTTTTACCAAGTCCAGGAAGTGAAGCAATTGCCAGCATGTCCTGTTGAAATTCTTGGCAAGATTTCTGTCCCTTCTCCCCCAGGTCAGGATTGTGCAAGGTTGAGTGCCAGGAAGGGTTGCAGGAGAGGGGGACAGGAGGGACATTGGCCGAGCTCTGGAGTCTGGCAGGCAAGAGGGCACTGTCTGTACCCCTTTGTCTAGTTGGCTCTGACTGAGTCAGCAACTCAGATCTGAACAGTTCCTGACCCCCATGACCCCCTAGGAGCCCTGGCTCGTCAGAAACTCAAGATGTTGTGTGTGGTGAAGGCCCCTCCCTGGGCCCACACCTGCTGATAACCAAAAATGTCCTATTCTACCAGACCCTGTGCAGTGTCCTTGTTTGGGGAGGGGTGGGGCATCTGACAGTGAACATTCTAGACAGGGAAGAATGGGACACCCTGTTCTGAGCCTGTTAAGCTCAGACTTCGTCTTGGCCCAGGGTGTGAGGTGTCTACAAGACTGGCCTGGGAGGGTCCATACCTTGAACCCCTTCACTTTCTCATGACCCCACTGTCATTTACAGGAGCTAACAGGGTGGCAGCTGAACTCTCCGGGGCTGTCCCTCTTCTGTTTCACTGCTTTCAAAGCCAAGGGCTGTCACTACAGTGCCAACTTACCTCAGAGGACAAGGGGATCACTTGAGTGAACCTGGTAAACTATGGCTCCACACTGTCCTATGTACTCGTTTCTTTGAATAAGAAGGCAAGATTGCCATCTAGAAGTCACTGAGAAGATCTCTCTGAGTAGGGGAACCAGGTGGCCCAGCATCCGGGGTCTCAGCCTCTCCCAAGCTGATTCCAATGTATTCCTGAGGGAAGCCATTTCCTCACAGGGGGTCTGTCCAGCATCCATGGAAAGCAGTGATGGATCTCAGGTGCTACACTGTGTCCCTGCTGAGGTGGCTCACTTAAGAGCTGCATCTGAACATTTGACCTGAGGCTGAAGTCCCCTGGCCTTGCATAGGACTGAAAGGGCCCACTTGCTGCTCCTGTCCTCCCACCCCCACCGCCACCCCTGAGCTCAGGGGTGGTTAGCCCTGAGGGAAGGGATGACCTAAACAGATGAGTAGGATGAAGCCTCACCCCTACAGAATTCAAGAGAAACTACACCACTAGAATCTGTCCCCTCTGGTCCCTGGATGATGAAAGAGCAGGAAGTAAAGCTGAGCCAATCTGTGGGGTCTATGTGGCCACCAGATCCTGTTGCTCTCGAGGTGCCAGTGGCCTTACAGCCCCTTCAATCTCAGCCCTAGGGGACCCACACCTTCTACCTTCTGTGACCTTAAAAGGGTATCCATGAACTGGGGATGTAGCTCAGTGGTGATGAGTTTGCCTAACACGTGGGAGGTCCCAGGTTCTATCTCCAACAGCACAAAACAACTTTGCAATTTACTAAACATTTTAGTTTAAAAGGATCCTTTGTACCTTAAGAGGTGGGTCACACCTTTAAGCCCAACACTTGGGGGCAGAGGCAGGGGGATCTATGGGCCAGCCTGATCTACAAGGGAGTTTGAGGCAAGGCAAGGCTACCTTTCAAGAACTTTGTCTTTTTTTTTTTTTTTTGGTTTTTCCAGACAGGGTTGCCCTGTGGCTTTTGAGGCTGTCCTGGAACTAGCTCTTGTAGACCAGGCTGGTCTCGAACTCACAGAGATCCGCCTGCCTCTGCCTCCCGAGTGCTGGGATTAAAGGCATGCGCCACCAACACCCGGCTAAGATCTTTGTCTTAAAACAAACAAACAAAAAAAAAACCAACATGTAAATAAAAGGCACTCTTGAGTCTTTGTTGATGAATGGGGATCAGGAAGACTGATCTGGACAGAGAAAAGACAGACCCCAGAATCTCAAAGGAGCTAGGAGGGTAGAATATTCTAGACTCTGAAAATCAGGGGCTAAGTGACCAGTGGAACGCTATAGAGTATGAACTGTGGCAGAGCTCTGGGTATGCAAAACAAAAAGGTCAAAATTAAGAGTAGGAGGGAGATGGCCTAGCGCAGGACCCTGGACCAGTTTCAAAGGCTAGCTCTTTCAGGCGCAAGATGCACAACCACCTCCTGCCTAACTGTTGATTCCTGGTGTGTGTGTGCTCTTCCCCAAGGACTCTGCTAGGGATCCACAACCCCCTTTTCTCTGAAACAGGATCCCATATAGCACAGGCTATGTAGCCAAAGGTGACTTTGAACTTCTTACCCTCCTGCCTCCACCTGTCATCTAGTCTGTCATTTTTCTTTCTTTTCTCTCCCACCTCTACCCCTGGAATATTGGCATGTTCACTAACCACACCAGCTATTTATTTAGTTAATTTGATACCAGGTCTCAATGTGTAATTCAAGCTGACACTCAATTTAGTAGGTAGCCCAGACTAGCTTCAAACTTGTGCCCATCCCCCTGCCTTAGCTCACCAAGTGCACTGCGTGTGCACTTGGGTTTTTTGTAGTCATAAAGCCAGAGAACCCTAGCTGCTCCGAAACTCCACCTGGGTCTAATCTACTTGAGATGTTCCTAGATTATTGTATCTCAGGAATCCAGTCTGACACTGTGATCTGGTGTCCGGAAGCTAGTGAATCTGGCCATGGGAGGCTGGAACTAATGCAGCCCCATTCCCCAGCCCTTACCAAAGGCCTGCTTGAAGAGTACAGGACTACCACGTCAGCTTCTCAGAGCCAGAGCTGCCTGGGAGGAGACCTGAGGCAAGAGAGCCAGAGAGGGCCTAGGGACCCAGTTCAGTGGCAGAGCACTTGCCTAGTGAGCCCAGGCCCCTGGGCTCCATCCTCAGCTCTGCTAAATAATGTGTCACCCAGGCACAGCCCCAGGAAATCTTGATGTCCACAGATAGGTCCAGTGCCCTCTGCTCCCAGTCACTCACGTGGGAAGGAGTGTCCAGTGGGAGATGTATACTTCTCCAGGGCCTTGACTTGAGTCTCTGTCTCCAGAGTGTTTCAGATCAAAGTGCTCCTGTGACCTAGAGGGTCTCTTGGCCCCTGCCTCTTCCACATGACAGGATCCTGCTTTGGAAAAGCTCCGAAAGTCAGTCCTTCCCAACACTCCCCATGCACCCACTGGACCCCCCACACACATGGGGAGGGGTCTGACAGATAGGAAGGCGCAGGTCTTGTTGCTTGAGGTCTGTGCCCAGGGCCACCCCCGGCTCTGAAGTGTTTCTCTTAGCTTATTGTAACTATTCACAATATTGGGTTTCGTTATGGTGTCCATGCATATAGGGCATTTTGACCATATTCACCCAATCCTATTAACCCTCTCTTGACCCCTTCCTGCCCCTGCTGGTCTCCTCTTCCCACTGAGTCCTCCTCCTAACATTCATGTGTGGTTGTTGTTTTTTTGTGTGTGTGACCCGATGAATTTCCTTACAATTGCTTACAGGATCTTGGGGAATGGGTGAAGGGTCATTTACAGGGGCATAGTCAATTTGCCATCTCTGTTTTTCTCTCTTTTGTGTTTTGTTTTTTTGAGGCAAGGTGTTTTTGTGTAGCCCTGGCTGTCCTGGAACTCTCTCTGTAGACCAGGCTGGCCTCAAATCCCTCCCAAGTACTGGGATTAAAGGTGTGTGCTACCACCACCTGGCAAGAAAATATCTCTTAAGCTGGGTATAATAGTGCACACCTTTGAACCCAGTACTTAGGAGACAGAAGCAAGCTAATCTCATGGGTTTAAGGCCAGCCTGGTCTATATTGCAAGCTCCTATTTCAAAAAAAGAAAAAAAAAAAAGAAAAAGAACAGAAAGAAAAGAAAACCACTTACTGCCCTTAGATCCTTGGGGAGGAGTGGAGCATCGAGCCTGCCCCTCTGTACCTGTTTTTTTTTGTCCCACAGCATGAGTGCCTGTGCAGGTGACAGGGCCAACATGACCACAGGAGTAGGGAACTGGAGGCCACAGTTCTGGGTAGGGTCTGCAGCAGGCACCAGGCATCCAGGAGGCAGTTCATGGCTATTGGGCTCAACTGTGAAGGGTGATTCTGCCTGGCATGATGCTGGTACTAGACAAGACACCTGCCCTGCCGCCCCAAGTTGCACAAGAAAGGAGCATGTCCAGGGCAGCCATTCCTTGGCCACTTGTTCCAGTTCCCTGATTCCCAGGCCTTAGCTGGACAGAGGATGCTTATGTGGGAGGACAGGCTGTTCCTCCTAAAAGGCTGCTGCTTTCTTGTGCCCTGAGAGCCCAGGACAGTTAGGAAAGTGCACAGCCCAGGAGGCCGGCAGGAGAGTGGTGCTGGGATGGTTAAATTAGGTGTCTGAAAGCATGTCTCTAACTCCAGAGCTTTGGCAACCTTCCCGGGAGACCCCTGGATTCTCTGAGATGAACGACATCATTCTGTTTCACCTCGTCCTTCCCTGTTTTTTCAGTGGCTGAGCCCTGCCCTCAAAGATGAGGGGTAGGTGAGGATATGACAGGCAGCAAGGATAGGGCAGGCTCCACAGGGCCAGTGTGTCTGCTTTACTAGGGGATGGGACTGACCTGAGCCAATGGAGATGGCAATGGACAGGGAAGATGGCACTAAGAACAGAGAAGAGCCATGCTGAGCTTGCCCGCTGAGATCTTGTCCTTGGCACAGCTGCTGTCCTTCTTGTAGTTCTCAGGAAGCCATACCAGGGAATGAGTTCCTGGGGC